TACGCACGCGGCGACAAAATACGGACACACCATAAATGGAGGCGAACTTGATGGGCAGCATGGCACCGCCGAATTGGGTGGCGTCTTGGTTCACGAAGTAGAGGGCCGTCGATGAGGAAGGAAAGCAGGAGGAAGCGCAGAAAAGGCCACAAAAGTGGCCAACGGGGCAGCGGTGTAGTATTACGCTGTATATGCGACTGCGTCGGCAGTAATGCATCGTCTGGTTGGCTCACGTACCGCTGCTAGTTCACGACCCAAGACCATAGGGGTAAGACGTTCAGCCAATGTCTCGAGACGAAGTCGCCCCATGGAAATGAATGCCAGCGCACCTACCGGTCACACGAAGCATGCACTCCTTACTTTGAGTCTATGTTCGACAGTCAGCAAGGCAGCATCTGCGCACTGCGACTAATACTGGCACTACTGACCCCGAGTCAGCGCCCCGAAGTGGCAGTGCTGCTGCGCTTATGTAGGCCTCGATCTGGTCCCCGCAAATCAAAGCGCTGCTGACGTGCTCCGCCAATTTAGCCGCACCATAGGCCAGGCTGCTCACCACATCAACACCGACAAATGTATATGCTGCGCATACAGCTGACATGAATCGGATTTTGTCCAGTTGCTGTGATTCTTTCCATACATGCGCTACATGATAGGGGGCCGTAGTCCTTCATTTCCTGCAATGGTTTTCATCGACGTATATCTCACAGTATGATAGGGTACAGCCACGGACGTACGTCTCTACCGAGGTCTGGCCGAACGCAGGTCTTTGAGACTGTGGGTAGTCGGTGATGCTAGCAATCAATACGAGGTGTTTCTACGGACTTCATTTCTTCGAGACTGTTGACTCTATTTCTCTTGCTTCGACTTTGCTTTCTCTTCTTCATCGCGCGCGCCTGCTTCCGCCTACTTCAACATTCACTGCCAAGAGATCAAGATGCCTTCTTCCAGCCTATCTCATCGCATACTCTTCATAAGCTCCATCCTACTCTTGATCGCATCTATTGGCACCCTCGGTCTCACTGGTCACGCGAAATGGCTTTTGGTTCAATACTTCCCCGCTGACGCTTGGTACATCTGGAGAGGAACAGATGGAACGTATGACGAGCAGCAGACGACTCAGCAGTGGATCGCTGTGGACTACAACGAAACGTATGATAGACTAGCCGTTGCGAGAGCGGTGTTTGGCGTCGTGGTAAGTGTACTGAGTATATGGATCATGCGAGCGAAGCCCAGAGCTGTAATAGAAGAAGATACACAGGTACTATTCTTCGTGATTGCTGCATCTTGATCAGGGCTTACAACTTGTCCAGAACTCGCAACATCCCTTCCGAGGCAACACCGTGTACATCACAACTGTGGTACTCGCAGTTATATCGTTCGCCAGTACACTTACATCCGCGATATGGTCGTCGATTCTGCATTACCAATCATCCAAGCGTTGCCAGATACCAACGGTGTTAACGAAATACAACAACGAATTTACATGCACGCGTGAGCTAGCGACATGCATTATGCTACCCGTCGTCAGGAAAACGGATGATGCAGCAAGGAGGCTGGCGTGTGTGGAGACTGTAAGTATAGAGCTCAAGAAAGCGAGTTTGGTAGACTGGATTCTGACTGTTATAATCTTCAGAAAACCGTGCGTTGGCTGCTTGTTCCCATGCTTGCGTTAGGTTTGGCATTAGTCGTGGGATATGCTGTACAGATTTGGTATCTGAAAAGACGAGCGGCTCTCGAGCGGAGAGCGGAGGAAAGGGTTGCCGTGCTGGAAAAGGCAGACTAGCTAACCGGAATATAATACTGCTGGCAGGTTCATGTCGCTTCCAGGCAGCGCTTGCAGCAATCATTGTTGGAAGCATAAGTTCTGCCGTGTGGCGCACGAATAGTCCTCCACATCGGATAACCGCCTTCATCATGGAACTCTTTCACGAAAATGTCGAGATCCTCGAATGGACCCTCTCCATGCTACCCGTCGAAGATCTCTTGCGCTGCGAGCGCGTCTCAAAGCGTTGGTGCGAACTGATCAGGGACAATCAAAATACCTCTAAGACACTATTCCGGTACAGGCAATCTATGGGAAAGCAGATCGAATCAAGCCCAAGGGATGCCTTCCTAGCAAAGAAATGGTTGGATCATGGTAACAGCCGTTCCACCAGATTGGAAGTACTCGCTGACTGTATCGCACACCCTCTTCTGAGTCGCTTCTTCGGATTACCAGAGCCTAGCTCCATTACTGCTTTCAACAACCCCAAACTCCCCTACATCACGTGCTGGCGCCTCCTTAGCACCATCAACCGTCGGAATGGATTGCCCAATCCGGAAGCGTCTTGGCGACAGATGTTTATAACGTGGCCTCCACTCAAAGAGATCGAACTACACGTCAGCTATATGCTTCACGGTGGTCAACTGGACCAGCAAGAACCCAAAGTCATCAAAATCCTTGAGCCTGAAGGCATCACGCTGAATCACTTCTTCTATGCCCTTTCTAGTTCTGCAATACTGGAACGGGGGCGCACTGCAAGTTCGATAACGGAATGGAACAAGGCAACCCCCAAAAGTTGGTTCACGAGAAAGTACAGGGGTATGCGTATCAGGGTTGTTCCCATAATTCATGTGAAAGAAGACGAGTCAGAAACTGCTGCGAGAGAGACATGATTGCTGCGGACGATAGATGATTTAAAGAGTTGGGCCTTGCCATTCTGTAGGTTTCATTATAACATGTAAAGAGTCTGCATTACAATCATTATGTGAAATAAGATCCACGACTAGATCATGCCATCTGACCTCTCACTGCACCAGGTAGCGCCAAGCTGGAATGAGTGTCCGCCATGAAAGCCGCCGGGTTGGCTTCGATTATGCTAACATGGAAGCCCTCGCCCGAATCCTTTCCTTCAACCATAACACCAGTCGTAAACGGGCCCTTGATACACCCCGCGCTGTTTCGGATCGTCTCGCTTCCCTCTACCAACTCCGGGTTTGGGAATGAGATTCTGGGTGGTCCACTAGCACCGCGCGCGGCCTCGTGGATATGCGTCGCCGTAGTCGCGGGGGAGTCGAATTCGCCTTGGAAGTTGTGCAGCGTGATGTTGTAGCAGATCATGTTGGAAGCGCTGTTGATGCCGAAGTTGAAGGTGCCGGATGCGCCGGCGAGACCACCGGTTGGTTCGGTGCCGTTGACGACCTCCTCCGGGACAGCATGAACGAAGTGCGTTGAGGAGAAAGCGAACAGTTGCTGAGCATCGATAGCGTTGGCTGCGACAGCGTCTTTACCGGTCAGGTCGATGTTGATCTGTAGCTGCATGTGACCATTGCCGATGTCGAGAGGTGATGCTGCGACTGGCGCAGCGGTTGCGCCCAGCGCCAGGCTTGCAATGGTGACGAATGCAGCGGTATACATTATGGTGTAATAAGTTGCAAAAAACGTGTATTGTAAAAAGGTGTGTGGTAAATGTCTTGTCAAAAGAACGTGTGGAAGAGAAGAGAAAGAAGCGAAGGGATGAATGAGTGTATATGAGAAAGGACCGGTCAACAGCGAATTATTCCTACCGAGCTCCCCTTGGTGCGGGTTCCATCTGGTTATATACTCTCTGAATGTGGTGATACAGCGTACGTGGATGCCTTAGCACCAAGGCTTGGTGTTGGCTGGAAGTCGTTGTTACCGATATTTGAGGCACCTTTGTAACGCGTGCTGGGTTTCGCGCACCTTGGCCAACACCAACAGCCGACTCGGCGCCTTGGAAGCATCAGGCCTCAACGCATACTGCAAACATTGAGCTCAAATGAATGATCGAGTTGCGAAGTGCGTATCCCGAATTAGCATGAGCATGGGTGCAAAGGCTTTTGAGCGAAAGGTACGCATCGCTAATTTGTCGCGGGTTTTCGTTCGCCAAGTGCGCAAAACATACGATGCGATGTCTTGGACGGAATCGAAGCGCATCCTGACCGAATTGGATGTCTATTCTCGTGGTAATTCTCTCTGATCTGCTATTGCTCGGGTTCCATGCTGTCCGGAAGGAAGGGCACGCTCGAAAGGCCGCACGCCAACCTAGGAAAAGACTAAACACTCTAGAGCCTACGTTGACGTTAGGCTACCTACTTTGCAAGTCTTTGTCTTAATATAGTCCGCAGACCTGTTCAGGGTTTTCCTTGTATGAGGTGGCCGTTCGAGTAAGATATCATCTGCACGGCTTCGTGAACAGCATGGCAAGAACCGGTCGGCTTTCGCAACGCTGCCGATAGGAGCAAGACGTATGATAAGCCGTTTGTTGTCAAGCTGTTCACGCTCTTTCAAAGGCTGTTCCGATGAGATTGGCTCTTCGAGACAAGGGCGCGTGCTGTCGAAGATGAGAGGATCAGAGGACAGGGCGATGCTGCAGCGGCCTGAAAGCCAGGCCACGATCTAGGGCTTATTAAAGGACTTAATTGACATACATTTCGAATATGGTGGTTCGACTGTGCGTACTGATGGTGATTGAAGTGTGTACGGGCTGGGAGGAGCTTCCGAGATTGGCTCGAGCCACGATGAGACCTCTGATCGTCTCATCACATTTCCTTGTTCGCGCATCACGAACACACGTCCTCAGCATCTGAGCATCGTTCTAAGGACAGAGGCTCCGGCTTCTTCGATGACATGTCTTCTCGACGCGAATGTACGCCCGCGAAGGGGTTCGGTGTAATGACGGCCGGTTTCAGCCACGATCCGGCTCCAGTTTCATGATTCTCTTGGATCTGGACTTCTCTATTCTTCGACACATTCAGCTCATGATCTCTGTCTCCTAGAATACTTCACTACGTTCCTCAGCGACATTCTCTTAAGGAGAGACATCATGAAGCCAAGAGACGGAACGCATGTGAGACGTTTCGGCGCGGAAGTCAAGATTAAAGGGAACTTCGCTTTGCGCTTCATTAGGTCTTGATGGTATTCATTATGTATGTATTAATACACTATATGAAGTGAAGTAGGTATTGGTATCATGAAGCAGGCATCATCTCACAACCAACTAAATTCCAGCACCAGCACCCGGGAACTTGGCAAGCAAAGACTTGTCGTACTTGGCAAGGTCAGGGCAGCCAAGCTTCGCAAGGATAGGATTCAGGGCATCGGTCAACTTCTGCACAGCAAGCAGAACATTGCCGAGGAGACCCTTCAAGATATCCGGGCTGGCGGAGTTGACAGCCTGGAATGCGAAGCACATGAGGTTGTTGTCTTCGAGCAGAGTCTCGGCGTTGAAGACACCGCCGGTAAGGTCGGCGATGTTGACACCGGTGAAGGTGTTGGGCTCGCCAGTGTTGCCACCGACGACGGCCATGTAGGGAAGGGCTTGCAGTGCGCCTACGGCATCGAGTGTAAAGGCTGCGATCCCGTAGTCATCACCGATGGCGCGGCGGTACCACTGCGGTAGGTGTCAGTAAGTTTCGACCGCTAATGATGCATGCAGAGCAAACTTACGTTCTCGGGAATCTTCTCCTGACCAGGAGCCCACTTGAAGCTGCCTTTCTGTCCTGTGACGCCTTCAAACGACTTGAGGGTTTCTCCGTCGAGATAACCTGATGGGTACTCTGCAGAGTGGTTGGAGAAGAAGTGGAAGGTGAACAGGTAGGTCGCAGTGTTGATAGCGTAGTGGGTCAGAGGCCCAGCCCAGTAGTGTCCGTTGGTGGCGACGGAGTTGTTGTATCTTGAGCCACGGAAAGGATGCATGACAGTGAGGTCGTAACCGTTGGGACCAATAGGCATGGCCATTAGTTCCTCGAACTGAGGGAGGTTCAGCGATACGGGGTTGCCGTTCTTGTACAGATCCTCTCGTGTAGGAGAGCAGTCGGCTTCGAAACGGTTGTGTGTCCCGCTCATACCCTGCGGCTTTCCGACGAGACCAAGTCCCGTGGTGAGTCCACCAAGCAGACCTCCGCTGGGCGGGCCACCGATGGAAGACGAGACAATGTCGCCGCCCATAACCGTAGCAAGGACTGACAGGAAAGCGGAGAGCTCGAGACCCATACCGAAAACTACGGCGCTGTGAGCAATCTGGCTGACGACCCAATGAAAACATGCGTACCTTCGTTCGATGCGGTAGTCAACTGCGTGACGGATGCGATTCCATTGCGTGGGAGATAGCCATGGTTTGCCATGACGTTCAGGCCTGGGCATGGTCCGCGAAGGTCATTCTTGCCAGGTGCAATCTGTAGGTGGACGTGTTAGAAATTGATGCAAGAACAAGTCTTCCATCCCAAGAGTCCACCTACATAACGGTGTTCACCCGTGGTGCTTATGCGCTGAGCGTCCGCATCGAAACCAGGTGGCAGGATGCTAGCACCAAGTTGTCGCTTGGCCAAGTTGGCCGGCATATCCTCAACCGCTCTGGTGATTTTTGCCGCCAGCTCTGTGATCCCTGCGAGCCCCTCATCGCTGAGATCAGCAGGAAGGTTGTTGAGGAGGTTGGCGGGGAAGGCAAGTACTGCCCATGAAAAGAGCGTAGCGCATAGAATGGATGCCTTCATGCTTGCGACTGGAACTATACAAAGACTAAGGAGCGTATGTATCGGTGACGGGTGAAAAGCAATTTGGCAGTTGAAGGTCTATTATATGCGAACAGTCTGAGGTGTTCACGGCGAATGACATGAACGCCACCAATCAACCATGGCGAATTTCGTAGCGGAAGTTTAATTCAGGAGTGGTGTGCCTGATCATCGTGCTGAGATCATGTACGTCGCTGATGAGATGGCAAACCTTCTGCGCGAGCGTAGAACAATGACTCTGTTCTACAAATGAACGACCGACAGAAGGGCCGAAGTTAGGAAAAGAGTGTGGTGGTGCAGCCTTGAATATGCGCCTGACATGCTAGAGACTTCGACTAAGATATCGACTAATGTCGGTCGGCTCATCACGTCATCTTCAATTGGTCGGTAGATGATTCCGATGCCATCGGTCGCAAGGGCGACAAGGCCCCTGATGCGCGCATAGTGCGATTTGGGATCCGGGGACGCTAGGCGTTTGTCATGGTGGTGGGCGTGCAGTGGCGCTACCTGGAAACCTGCCGCAGCGTGGAGGCGGGCCTGTAGATCAGATGCCGCTAGCCGGAAGGGAGCGGAGCCAGGAACCGGGCAAAGGCGAATGAGAAGACTCCGACGAGAATCGGTCTTCAGGGTCCTGTTGCCTCTCATTACTCATGTTCTAAATATTCGAAGAAAGTAATGCGATGGCTAGGATAATTAACTAGACTCAATAGTAGTCATGGAGAATGGATTCAGGGCGATGCCAATTCGCGGCCGAGAATTGGTGAGCAAACATCTTCGTTATGGCATTATTCGTGATTATCAATTACCCGTAAGCTCCATCACAACCTCCGTATGTCTTCTATGTGCGTCTGGATGTGGTCTGCCAAGGGCCAATCGTCACCGTGTAGGTGCGCCCGTGACATGGACTCTGGCAATGACTCGGGTGTTGCAGCCGAAACCCTTCCAGTCTTCTCGTCAACAATGAGATCGTCCAACTCAATGTAACCCTCCTTGGGGCCACGCTCCAGGTCGTCGTCTTTGAATAATGAATCTGTGCTCGTGTTGTCCAATGTACGTGATGTGTTCTTGTTCAATCGTCGTGCACTTTGATTCGCAAGTGTGCTTGCGTTGTTGGAAGGGTTGGAAGGAGTGCTTCCAGTTCCAGTAGATTTCGATTTGTTGCTTCGATTGGTTGAGTTGTGGTAATGTGAGATGGCCGTATTGACCGCTTGCTTGAAGAAGACACGGAGTACCGGGATGGACGTGGCAACGACTGTCATGGCAGTGTCTGCTGTTGACCAAATGACGGAGTTATACGCTTGGTCTGCTTTGGTTAGCTCGTTTCAGATATAGAGCTTCAATAGCTTACAGGAAAGATCCTGGGTCTGCAGCTGTTCGACGTATCTGGCTCGGAGAATAGATGTGACTCCCGCTAAGATACCCAGACTCATGGCAACACCAACTCCGATCTTCTCCGCGGTGCGCATCTGTAGATTCCAGAGGACCTTCCAAGGCAACAATGCCAGAGAAATATCCATAATGGCAGCCCATATGGCCTGGAATCTTCCGTATATTACGGAAGGCTCCTTGTCGATACACGTCCCGGGAAGGATATCAACAAAGGTCTTCGTTATTGGCTTGCACAGTACCCAGGGGAGGACAGCAACTGGTATTGCGAATAAGGCAAGGGTAGCGATAGCGAACCAAACGTAGGCCTTAAGCCATCCGTCAGTCAACCGAAGCAAGGTGAGCCCGAACGAGATCTTGCTAAGGATGATGCCCGTGATAGAAAAGGTGAGCGCGGATGCGCCATAGTACGTGATACGTTCGAAGTGGCTGAAGTCAACTAGCCAGAAGGTCAGAGATAGGTTGAATGAAGTCTTCTTTGCGAAGTCTTACTGTCGAGCGCATGCTTTCCAAAACCGAGGTTGATGCTGAGTTGGTTTAAGATGAGTTGACCAAGGAGCATAAACTGTGGTGTATCAGCGATCCATGATTCACTTTGACCTTTCGCCTCACTTACCCAGCTGATAATGAGTACAATGTCGTCAAACCAGAACTTCTTTTGGGAACGACGGATCCAACAGCGAACAACCAGGAAGGCGAAAGAGACTCCACCAAGTGACCATGTCGAGACGGCCATCAACATCGAGTGCGACTCACTCGGGTCACTGCGCCAGTTATCGAATTGGGTAGACATCTTGATCGCGCTCGCGGGGGACCGAGGAGTCGGATACGATGGGAACGTCCAGTCGGTATAGGTATATTAATGTCCCACGGAGTTCCATCCAAAAAGGGCTGTGTTCCTCCGGGATGAGGGTACAATCTATAGGTAAGGATGCTCCGCGGATGTCGAAATGTAAGGCACAAACTATACAATAGGCTAGTGCCTGAGACTCTTCCGCATGCCAGGGTCCGGCGAAGATCCTGCCGAGCTCGATCGCAGAAGCTATCGCGATATGGTGTTTGTCAGGTATGCAATTCACTGGAAGTTTTATGCCTATGTGTCCAAGACCATCTCAAAGATGTGGGTATTCGCTGGTCAAACCTCGTCTCGGTGTGAACGTTTCTGGTACGTGCTTTAGGCTTGTCTGACTCGGGCCTGAAGCAAGAGCCGGTAAGCATCACGTCGGCGTGCACCCTCGTCATTTTCCAGGTATGTGGCCAATCGCGGTTTTTGCACTTCGCATTGGCTTGAGTGAACGACGGCCCGAGAGCGGAGACCCCTCCCACTTCGCCGCTTGGTACGCGCGCTAACAACGGGCCCGTCTGTCCCGGCAGTCATACCATCGCGGTTTTCAGGTCATGAGCGGGACTTGTGTAGATTGATGCCAGGGTACATTCGATTGTAGTCGCAAATCTTGTTCTCTAGCAAGAGTGGGTCGGCTTCCATTGTCGCACTAGGGCCAGCGCGCGGATAGACTGATGCTCGGTCATCACCCTTTATTCTGATAAAGTTCAATGAATGCCGAGTGCGTAATCGACAGCCGCGGTTTTGGACGATCTGGAACATGCCGCGCTCGGACTTATCTTGGGGATGCTGGTAAACCTATGACCACGAAGGCAACGGGAGGAGGTTGGACCCAGCAACATCGCACCTTAGTCTGATGAGTATGCGCTGGGCAAACGTTGGCAGGGGCTGCGGAGGTATTTCAAACACCCCCAATGCAGCGACGTAGGGATATCGCAGGTACTGCAGACGTACCTAGGTAGTCGCATGGCAGCAACATGCTGTGGCAATATTGCGCGACGAAGTTGCCGGCCAACTGTTCAAAAAAAATGTTTATTCATAGGGTGTCTGTTCCCGCCCACATGAGATAGTGCTTGTGGTTTAGTGAGTGAGGTGCTAACGGCAGATCAGCCACTTCGACATACCTAGTAGGCTGCGCGTGTGTCTGCACCTCTTTCACAAATGGCAGCAATGTGCCTGTCGTCACGATGGTTGCTACCCAAGACCCCGCATTCATCGTTAGCAGTGAGCCAATCGATACAAGAGTGGACGCATCGTGATCTGGACTGGTGGTGTTGGTTTTGGTGTAGGTTCGAAGACGAGGCGAACGGCCTTGCACAGCTAACTGTCGCTTGCCTTACCGCAAGTGGATTCACTACTGGACATGTCGACCGAGCACCTCTGGTTCGTCGCTTCTAGTCGTCACGAACACTGCTGACGAATCAGATACCGCTCTGAAGCGGAAGTACAGGTGTCGGATAGCTTACACCACGAGTTGATATGTAATGGTTCATTTTCGCGATGTAATATGTGACCGCACACTAATGGTGACCTGTAGTGCATCAGCAGCGCTTTGCAGCCTTTGTAAACTCTGTTATCAGCGCTGTGTTTTCGGTCCACACAGCCGCAGTTGACCTGAATGAACATTCGTACGAGTCACCTGTGTGCTAAGAAGCAGCTATTCGTGACCAGGTCGTCGCGGTTGCAAAGGGAGTGGCGCGCTCGAATTACCCGCCGGGCGTAGGCATGAAAGTTCAGGATACTTGCATGCGCCCTATGCGCTGACCGCGTTCGTCGATTTCTCATGGAGGGTGGCGTATTCTCCATGTCTAAGTTTCGGGATCTAAACCTTTCTCTGTAGGCCAACCAGCAACTAGGCAGCTGGAATCGGAGACAAAGTTTGCGGAGCAGATCGGCCAGCCTAGCTCGTTCGGGTTCACACTCGCCATCGACTAAATCAACACCATCTCCCCTCCTAAATTCTCTCTACGTCAACTTCATGTTTTGTGTAGTGTAGGGCATCTGCGCTAGGGCCCAAACTTATGCGTTGGAGCCCACCATCCAGAATACTAGAGAGCCGGCACTTCCAGACGACTTCGATCGATGCATTTGCCTCGGAGTTTTGGCCTTCGCAGCGATGACCTACACGCATGCATAAGGTTCGACATCTTATCTCGTAGATCAAACTCGAAAGAAGAAGACATGTGAGGAGCTCCGATACTCACACAGAGTGACGCGCATGCCTGATGGGCCCAACTAGATAGGCTTCAGGATTCAACAAACAGACAGGCGACGTGTTTTGACCATTGATGTCGATGCGGTGCTGTCATGTAAACAACGTTGAGGTTTGGATGGAGTTGGCTCAATCAGTCGGGACTGGTGTGGAAGGTGTGGCCAGTAGGTGATCATCGTCTACCTGAAGGGGTGGCTGGAACATGCAAATTCCATCGAGGTGCATTGCTCAATGTATGCGTCTCATCAAGGAAGAGAATGCGCTTTTGTCGAGCGCCAGGCGCGAAGTTGGGAGTTCGATAGAATTGATGAGAAACTCGTCCTTTCCCTCGGAAGATGATTCCGAAGATGCGCACGTGCCCGACCACGTGATTCTCTCTGCATCTTGGCACGTACCTGACGGGGAAGAGGGACCCGAGAGTCAACGTCATAGCCCGTTGCAACTGCTTTATCAACGAAGGATTCATTGACGATGTAACCTTAGAGCTCAATCAGGGTGTACAACCGACAAGGCCCGCTTGGGGAGCGATGCGCGCATGCGGGGTACCTTGGAAAGTGGTGCGCCAACGGGTGGGACGCATAAGAGGTAAAAGGAATTACGACGCACCCAGCTACATCAACTGTTTTCAAGATGTTGGGAGCTAGGTTGTTGTCTCTACTGGTACTTGCGCCATGCGCAATAGCACAAGACGTCGATTATTCGCAGTTCGTGAATCCATTCATCGGGACTGAAGGCGCGATACCAGGCTACGCATACGGCGGCGGCGATGTCTTCGTTGGCGGCGCGGTACCATTTGGCATGGTTAAACTGGGTATCGACACGTATGAAGAGCCTATCAACCAGAGTGCGCTCAACGGCGGATATACACCTCAAGGCCATGTGACTGGCATCAGCTTGATGCACCAGTCAGGAACAGGCGGAGGATCGAAATATGGATATCCGTCCCAGATGCCGTTGACAAGCATCGATGGCGATGTCAATCTGCTGGACAATCGGACTTACTGGCAAGATCGTGTAGGGTCATCAAGTGTGACGCATAGACAGCTTCTGACAAGCCTCTAGATTGGCGAAGACGTCGCGCAAGTTGGCTACTTCCGTACCGAGCTTGAATCGGGTGTCAGGGTCGAACTGGCGGCCTCTCGACACGCAGGATTATACCATTACACATATCCGTCTTCGTCCGAGAAGCACGTTCTGGTTGACCTGTCGCACTACCTACCCCATCTGACACGCTCATGGGACTCTCAATTCTACACAGGTGCCGAGATCGAGATTCAACCAAACAACAGCACATACACTGGACATACATCAATAGCAGGAGGGTGGAACATCGGAGCACCTGTCGTTGTATATGTATGCGGCGAGTTCGACAGTCCGCCTCATGAAGCACGTGCTTTCAAGGGGAAGAACACATTCCCTGTCGGTCGACACTTCCGGTCATTTGATAATGGCACAACACCTCGACCTACGTATACTGGATCAACAGCCCGATCAGGGCCGATGAACGACCGCGTCGGAGCAGTATTTACTTGGACTAATGCCACCGAGATCAAATCGCGAGTCGGCATATCATTTATGTCCGTTGACAAGGCATGTTCGTACAAGAACGCCGAGCTCTCTTCGTGGTCAATCGAGGATACCGCGCAAGCGACGCGTGACGAATGGAACCGCGATGTCTTTTCCAAGATCCGCGTTGACACTTCGGAGTCGGCAAACAAGACCAGGCTGGCGTTGCTATACTCCAGCTTGTATTTCATGCATCTAATACCCAGCGAGCGTGTGGGGGAGAACCCGCTATGGGAATCGGATGAGCCATATTGGGATGGTAAGTTCTGGCTGTACGAAATACATGTGAGACATATACTGACTTAGTGTAAAAGATTTTTACACTATGTGGGATCTGTTCCGAAACCAGGTCTCGCTCTGGCACCTCATCCAGCCAAGCTACTATGAGTCTATGATCCGCTCTCTGATCGATATGTTCAAGCAAGAAGGCTACCTTCCAGATGGTCGATCTGGCAATTACAACGGTCTGGTCCAGGGAGGATCGAACGCCGACAACGTCCTGGCAGATGCCTACGTCAAGGGCTTGACGGGTATGATCAACTGGACAGAGGGCTATGCAGCGGTCAAGAAGGATGCCGATGTCTTGCCATTCTTCGACGAGAACCCAGTCGATCCGTATGGGTCGCTGAAGGAAGGTCGCGGTGCGCTGAAAGATTGGGTAGAGCTCGGCTACGTCTCGGCTGATCGCAGCACGCGTGCAGTGTCAAAGACGGTAGAGTACTCACTCAACGATTTCGCTGTCAGCCAGATCGCAGCTGGTGAGGCGCCTGGCGACCGTGACCTCTACCTCCGTCGGTCCGCAGGTTGGCAAATGAGTTGGGATCCTGAGTCTGCGAGTCGTAACTTTTCCGGTTTCGTTATGCCGCGATACGCGAACGGCACTTTCCACAAGACCTACGACATTACTGATTGTGGCGACTGTAACTGGGAAGATGAGAGCTACGAAGGCACTGCTTTTGGTGAGTCTCTTCCCGCATCCAATCCTGTTTTACTTGCACACTAACAGAAGCCTAGAGTATTCTTTTGTCGTCCCTCACGACATTTCACGCGTCATCACACTAATGGGAGGCCCTTCGCACTTTGAAGACCGTCTCGACTACGTATTCCAACCAAACACGTCTGGCGTAGACCTCGGCGTAAACGGACTTGGTATCACCACCATCAACAACGTCGCGAACGAACCCGACTTTGAAACACCCTATCTCTACAACTACCTTAACAAGCAGTGGAAGAGCGTCGAGCGAAGCCGCCAGCTTGCCAATGACTTCTACTTCAACACCACCAATGGTATACCCGGAAACAGCGACGCAGGAGCCCTAAACTGCTGGCTCATTTGGCAGATGCTGGGGTTGTACCCCATAGTCACCACGCCTGTATATCTCCTGGAAAGCCCTTGGTTCTCCGACATCAACATTACAGTCAATCATGATAAGACGCTGAGGATCAGGGCCGAGGGTCTAGACGATGGAGACGGAAAGCAGGGGTACTATGTTCAGGGAGTGAGTATCAACGGACAGGAATGGGGAAAGAACTGGTTCGAGCATGAAGACGCGGGTGGTATCATGACGGAGGGAGGCGAGATTGTCTTCAGGCTTGGAGAGCAACAGACTGTGTGGGAGTCAGGCGATGTGCCGCCCAGTCCTGGGCACCAAGTTGTTGATGTTGGTGAGAGCGCACAGTTTGCTTAAGATGATGCAACATGGTGCGGCGCCAACACTGTGTCCTGAGAACATAGGTGGTAATAGGCAGTCGCGAACTACAGGAGATACTCGCATCAATACCTGTTCGTGATGTCAACCCCCCAAACCTTCTGCCAAGACATCCGACACACCTGACACACTCCGCACACCCTCCGATCACGTGAACCACTCTGAAACGCCTCCTGCGACAGCACAACGAGACCCAGCCGCCACGGCATTGACCCCGCTGATAGGCCAGAACACAACACCCAGAGGACGCGTCACCAGCAAACCACTCAATAGTACAAGTCAGGTGCAAGTCAACCAACAGCATGAATCATGCACGATATATGCGCATTCATTATAGGTACCTCGCCTCCGACACCCGGCGCCTGGATACGCAGGCGACAAGGCGATCACACAGCGACAGCCTCAGCGCCACGGAGAGCATGACACGGTGCACTGGAAGCGTACTGCGGGGTGTACATCGCGGGTGCCTGAGGAAAAGGCATAAGAAGGCTGTCTCGCCCGTTGTATTGGAAGACCATCAAGCAACATCTTCTTCGCACTACAACAACCCACTTCTATTCCATTCTTTCTTTGCGTCTGTGACTGCAAAAGCCTGACCTGGTGTCATTCGTTCAAACGTACAATACATAATCCACCCACGAGTTTCTTTCGATACCCATAACTATCAATATGCGTTTCTCCATCGCTACTCTCCTTACCTGTAAGCAACCACCGTTTTTCACCTGCCATGGGCAGGAGCCCCGAGATGCCGTATACTAACACCCCCCAGTGACCGCCGTCTCCATGGCGCAAGTCACGCCCAACAACGCGGGCGCCAAGAACGTCGGTGCAGGCGACGGTTCGCAGTTCATCACCGGCGGCTGCGTCTCGGATGCCGATTGCAGCTCCGCCTGCTGCAGTCAGGTCGCTGCGACTGGTGACGGTGTTTGCTCTGCTGAGGCGGCGAGCCAGCAGAACGGAAAGACAGGTTGTGGATTCACGGACCCGAATGCGGATGCGGTGATTGCGGCGGCGCAGGACCAGGTTGCGCAGCAGGGGTTTAAGAGGGTTGTTCGTAGCGAGTAGAGTGTTGCTTCGATGGAGGTTGCTGTTGCGTCAATGATAAGATGGTTTGACGATGGCTGTGTTGTGCTCTGGCTGTGATGTTCCTTCTCGTAACGTGCACTAAGTCCAACTAATTCGTGCGCGTGGAACGTTCGCTCCAGTTCGAAGACGTGATTCGATCTGGAGAGAACGTTCCACGCGCATGAATTAGTCGATTTGTGATGATAACCTCAATGCGCATATCCGCTTCCAGCCCCAAAGGCCGCCCAGAGCCGAGCCACCCAAAACGCCAATATCAACTCCCGACACGTCTGATCTAGATCATGCCTCAGCTCTATCGTCGGCATCTTGCCTCCAGGCCCCATCTTCAACACCTCCGTCGCAACGACATGGCCTTCACTGTCTTTCCATTGACTAGGTTCCAGCTCGTTCTTCCTCTGCTTAAGCGCCTTTGTGAACCCCCCTGGCTTCCCACAAGTCATAATCTCGTTCGGTCGACTGCCCTGCGTGGGCATATGCACGACATGCCATCGGCGCAGTCCGAAGCGGAGTTGTAGAGCGCCGGGTAGTGTGCTCCCTGCTTTGCCTTGGATGTAGTACTCGTTGATGAGGAAGGGCGGGTCGTGGGCTTCGTAGAGCACGCTGCTGTTGTCGAAGGCGACGGTCGGTGCGCCGGATTGGAGGAAAGTGATCTCTTCGGCCTTTAACCGCCGTATCCGCAGCTTGTTTATTCGCGCATCGAGGAGGGAGGAGAGTTGGTAGGCGGGCGCGTTGGGTGTGTGGATGAAGGTGCCGTAGATGGTGAAGGTCGTGGCCTTCTCGTCGACGGTGGCGTATGCGGGCGGTAACTCGGGCGGGGGCGATGTTGGTACGATGGTGGATGTTGGCTCTGGGTCGACAGCAGGTTGTTCGGCAACGGCGGGCTCGGGAGGAGGTTGTGGTACTGTGGTGGGCGGAGGCGCGACGACGGCCTCTTCGTATGAGGGTATTGGCGCGTTGATGTTTGGGCGAGACATGGCTGCGAAAAACAGAAAAAGCACGCAAGCAGTTGCTCAGTCTGGCTGGCAGTGCTCAAAGAATTGCACAAGATGTGGTTTCAGAGGCTGTGTTCCGCCAAGCATGCTTTCGTATTGATTGATTGATGATGTGAACACGGCAAGCTCGGCGTGACGTACTTCATCCACAACCTCGGCTTCTTCCGCCTGCCAAGACCCCACATCTACAGTCTCTCCCCACGTCACACCACGAGTCCCACGGCAGTCGCGTGTGAATCTAGACGCATCCGAGCAGACTACTAGAAACACAGCACTCCGCCATCATGTTGGTGGCTCTTTGCATCTGTGCATCTTTCTCCAACAAGCCAAGTCGATCATGCGAATCTCGTGGCCCTTCTCCTGCAACTCAAGCAAGATTGGTTTTGCTCGGTCAAGGAACTCGGCGCCGCGCTTACTATCAGCAGGAAAAATCGAAAGAGAGACAGTTACGCCGAGACTGGCTGAGTTCAAGATCTTTCTCAAATCTCCAATAGTCTCCTCGATATCTGACTCAATCCTCCAACTATTGTCAAAACGCATGGCGAAGGTGATGCGGCCGGTGATGGTTATGGGGAGTACACCCGCATCGATGTTCTACCACCACGGAAGCTTTGCGAGAATATCGTGAATAGACAACGGCTGCAACGTGCAGATGTACTTCTGAATGATGAACGTCGTTCTCCAATGGAATCTTTCGAGGATCTCATCAGCTAGTGGGTGGGTGGTTGATATCATGGGGTATGGACAGCCCATTGGTGGAGTAGGTAGAGTGCCGTCCGGTGCTCCTTTGTGGATGGAGAAGCCAGTGTTATCTTCTGCTAACTTGATAGTGTAAGTGCTCTCCCTTGGGAGTAGATGGTCGTATACCATGTCCCTAACCTCCCGTGGTAGCTTCCCTGTTGGTAGCAATCCGAACATTCTGTCGAGGAGACTAGGGTGTACGAGCCTGGCGTACCCTCCAAGAACATCCGCGAGCGTCTGGTGGATGTACAGTTCCTTGGGTTCAACTTCGGAACGCTTCCGAAGCTCTGCACTGATACGACGCTCTGCCAAACCAAGCTTCAACGTAGCTGCGTCCTTGCTGGCCGGGTCTGCGAGAGACGGTGAACCGCTTCGTTTCTCGATGCCTTGGAGAATCGAAAGCTGCTTTTCTTTCCACGAGTACAGCTCTTGCAGCGTACAGTCAAATCTTTCCTTCTCAGCTCTCAGTCTCTCCGCAATGACATGTAGACTGGCATCCTGGACGTTAGCTGAGGTTATTCACGCAACGTTACGACAGAAAGCCCTGACTGACCTGAAAGCTCGGAGACGGTAGTGCGCATACTCCGTCGAGGCAAGCGAACAGCGTCCGAAGACATCTACGAAGCCGAGTTGGTCACCAGTGGTATGGGTTGTGAACATGGCGAACACCTGGGTAATATATTGAGTGATTTGTTTTGGTGTTACGCAAAACACCAAAGGACCCAGGTATGGGTTGCGACACTCAGCTAGCTGAAAAACTAGTCCCAAAGAGGCAATTTTGAAAGGCTCCGTTGCCAGTACTCCAAAGAACGCGTCAACAAAGATTGAGTGACTCGTTAAGAGTTGAATATGCTTTCACATTTCTCTACCTAGGTACACACTACCGTGAGTACGTGATTAACGCTCACTTTGGTTAAGATACTCCAATCTTCAATACGAACCAAGGTTGGGAACTAGACGCCAATCATATCCTCCGCATTTCATACGACCCACACGCGAAAGAATGCCCCCGAATAAGAAGTACCACCACCCTGAGAGCTCAACAGATAACGAGCCTTGCGATTGACGTAATTTGAACCTGCCAAGCTACTAGTTTCGCGTCCTGGACGAAGCAGCGCTTGGCACAAGCGGTGATTACACTCTGTATTGCATTCTGCAAAAAGTTACATCGTCTTAGGAATTATTCACTTATTAGGATTTAGCAGTGTACATGCAGCAAATTCAACACGCATCATAGCCCTCCCTGGTATCGAGTTCACATCATCTAACCCTCCGCCCTCATCTCCGCCTTCTCCCCAGCATCCTGATTACGTCCCGAAGAGTACATCTGATACAGAGACAGCCTCATATACTCGCGGACTTCCGCCTATTGAATCTGATCAGTGCCATAGACTCGTATGAAAGACTCAGGGTGGCGACATACCTTACGAAACTGCCTTCGATTAGTCCAGGCATCAGCGAATGTGGCGCTTCCCTCCCCCGCCATCCATGCCCACCCGCTAATCCTATCGTCCAAGTGAATCTGGTGGCCTCGAGCCTTCAAGGCCGTCAGGCTCGGGAATATGGCCTCCATGATGATATGAACGTTCTTGTTATGAACAGCGGCATCGATATCGGTCCCAACATTCGAGGCTGATAGTCGTTCAGTGGTAGCTAACATGGCTTGGCGTATGGTCTGGTCGGTGGGAAGTGGATCTTGATATCTTTTACGCATACGACCAATCTGGAGATGCCAGTATCGTTCTTTGTTAGGGAATATCACTTCGATACGTGCTCGGGTGTTGGTGAGTTGCTGCAGTAGGTCGAAGCGTTGACGGAGTAGAGTTCTACGCTCTTCAACCTGATAAATGTCCTCTGGCAAGTGGATGTGACTCGTGGAGAGCCAGCGTTTCGGTTGGATGTCCTGCCTCCATGCATCTTGATTGAGAACCTTTTCTATGAGAGCGTCGTGGTGGATGTCAAAGCGGCTACGTCGGTAACGAAGTTGTAGAATCTCTAGTGCCGCCTCTTTACCGACGATGGTGGGATCAACGTAGTAAGGATCTCGGCTCTCAGTGACACTAGCGGCCATGCTAGTACGAGAGAAGTGTGTAGAGCGAGGATTGCATGGTTTGAGTGCATACTCCCTGCCTACTAGCCGGATGTCAAACACTGGGTTCTGGAAGTCCATGAGTTCCGCGTAGACCATGTCACGCAGCTCTCGCGGCAGGTGGTCTCGCAAGGCTTGTAATAACGGCGGGCACTCTAGACGAGAACATTCGACTGCAGTGCGATACAGCTAGTCTTTAACCTTGCGCAGTTGCTTCTTTGCTCTTGCACGCCGTACGCCGTGTCCTTTGGGGCAGGTGGTCACTTCGAAGTCGTCGACCATCTTTTGCAGCCTCGCAGCCTTTGTGGCAGTCCTAGTTCGTCAGCGCGTGTTCTCAATATTCTTAGCAAACGATGCTCACTCATAGCAATTCGCACGCAGCTCCTCAACCGTCAGGATCTTGCCTGACGAGCCGTGGCTACCTTGCGATCGAGTTGTAGAGACCATGATTGACAGCGATGTGCGACGGGGAGCAAGCTTCGGATTCAGGCGATGTTCGTGCATGCGCAAAGGATAAGAGTGATGCGTATCCACTGGTGTGGACGGACCGTAAAATGGATTAATGAGCGCCTGCCAAAGAGAAAAAGGGTCCACGCTAACGAATGTGGTCGTGAGTTCCCTATGGGGAAGGCACGGTAACGCCTACGTAAAGACTACCAGAACTCCAAAACAACGTACCATCTAATCACGCTACCAACCAAGAAAGCCCAACTCCCCGCCATTGCCGCGATAGCTGCATGCACTTTTCCCTGTTCCTCGTTCTCACCGTCCTGGAAGAGAAAGAAACCAGCCATCATGAAGCCGAGCCCACCAAGCGCATTGAGAATGGCACTCTGCCAATCCGAATGAAAGAACCTGGGCTTGTACCAGCGCTCTTGTTCGGAGAACGCCAACATAGCGTTCGCGACTAGGAACAGCGCGCCGTGTACAACCTGGGGCCCGAAAACGATGTATTCAAAGAGAGGGTCTTCTTCCGGAACAATGCCGGGAAAGTCGACGATGCCAGCGAACATAAAGATGATGCCCCCAAAGAGAACGATGAGACCAGCCTGGAAGGCCAAGTTGGTGGCCGACAACTCCCAAACCTTCTCCCATGACGGTATCCACTTGAACTCCGGTGTGCCAAGGAGCGCTGGCCGGTATCTGACTTTCTCAGGCTCCAACTTTGACGTTTCAAGTGTACCACGGTCCGCATTCAAAGCACTGAAGGTGTCGAAGATGCCTGCGACGAAGAAGAAGATTGATCCAATCAATATCGTACTAGGAACGGCGACAGTCTCTTCGGTTTCGAACTCGGTGGAGGGATTGATGCGAGGTAGTAGATCGAAGGTGGCGTTGATGACGAGGTCGATAGATCCAATGAGGAAGATGATAGCTACGAGGTAGATGGGGTCGCGGTAAGGAAAGACGGTGAACATGGATTTTAGCCGCACTTTAAAGGAACTGCTATTGTCCCATTCCATGACCGAAGTGGTGTCGAGATAGCGGTCGTCGATGTATGCTTGGCTGTTATCGGCGTTGCGTTCGACATCGAAAAAGGTCGGCTGTGAGGTACGCTCGGAGTGGCATTTTTCGCGGTGTTCAATGTGGTCGACATGGACGAAGGATTGGAGCTTCTCGGTTGAAGCGGGGCGTGGTTGAAGATCGATTGATAACGTCTCCGATATGCTATGTGGGCGAGGGGTCATGCTCATCCGCGCCTGGCGGATGTACGAAGCACGGATCGTTGCTGAGGCATTCATGCCGGGCCAAGACAGCGGTAAGGACAGTATTAAAGATTAGAAGTTATCGGTACTTGTACTAGGAAATTGAACGAAGGACACAATTCGACACGGTAGGCTTATAGAAAAGAAAGCATCCTCAATAGGCCCTTATGAGAACCCATACCCAGCGCAATCAAACGTTAGTTGGGTGTTGCTGTGTTGATCGTGCGCTCAGACGCCCAAGCCCAAGACTTCACATGTCTGACCCACGAGCTTCGTCATGCTTTTGGCCAACAAGCATCGAGTATTGATGCTGTCAAGCTCAACCAAGCTTTGTGAAGTGGTGCTTGTTTCCCACTTGCTTTTGAAGTGGGTCGAACAGTACGTGGCGCCGTTCCGGATGGAGGAGTGCCGCCACTTGCGTGTGGCAGTGAACTGTTCGGAGTGAGAGTTGTCGGTTTCAGTATTTGCATCGTATGAGACATCGGCCCAAAATAGGGGCGACTAGACGAAAGTGGCCCGGATCGCCGGCAGGCGCCGCTCGGACCGATCATGTTCAGGCACTAGTGCAGTGTGCGCTTCATCCTGGAGGTCGATCTGGAAAGATAGTGGGTTGAAACATTCTTGCCAACTCAAGGCCACGCAAGCAGAAGGAAGGCAAGTGCTTATGGAATGGTGATGTTCAGGAGCGGCACCATCGTGGTTGCTGGTGGCTCATTGCGGTACTCAAACACTTGCCTCTGAAACCAAATTGCTGCGCTGTCTTCGAGGTAGAGTTTGTCCTTGTCGCATCGATAGGCCTGTCCGGGGGCATTGAGTATACATATCAACGCTGTCGCACACGAAGATGCGTGCCGGCAGATGCCGTAGATGATCCGCGCAGTGACCGTTTCTGGATTATCAATGCACTCTGGTCCTGAGTAATGCAAGGAGTAGGCATGCATTGTGCTGGCGGGTTTCTCATCTTGCGTTGGGATCGCCTGATGTTGTCACTGTTGACGAAGCTGCCGTTCAGACGAGTGGGTGAGAGCGGTTTCGGCTGGAAGGCGGTGCTGACATCATCCGCTAGGCTGGGTCAAGGATCGGCCCTCCCATCCTTCCAAGGTTTTGGCGGCTTTCGCGACCCATCACAACAATGCTCTTCGCGAACGACTTCTGGCCCACCTTCTATCTTATTGATTCATCAGCACGCTTCAAGCGCTCTGTGTTTGATCGACATCACTTTGATATTCTTCGCATGAGCGGTCTGCTTATTGATATTTTCTATAGTCTCGATCGCCCTCAGTTTTGAGCGCATCACCTGCTCAGTAGTGGACCGAATACAAGAATAGGCACCTTATCTACTTCAAACCCCGAATCACAAGATAAGACAGCTTCAAGCGCCGAGTCACATTGTCGGTACCTGGGGAGGATGCACGCTTGGCCTTGGGATGGGTTTCCGGGTTCTGCACGAAGACCTAAGAAAAGACGCGCCACGTTACGCGAACCCAAGACAACCGCACCCAATCTCAGCCTACATAGCCGGAACCGTCGTCTTCACCGTTCTAGGAAGTCCGGTGTGGCATTCTACTTCAGAGACAAGGCTACAGCGACAAGGCTACGAGGCAAATTAATGACTACCAATTGATGGAGTGTACAGAAGCCTTACAAACCAGGTACGATTTCACCGGCGTTGAGCCCCAGCAATCCGCAGCTGCTGCGTAGACCGCGGCCAACATCCACCTCCCAGCGATGATCGGTCAAGGAACAAGTTTCGCGATTTGGTCACTTCGTACCGTTCACCAGTGTTCATGCGCGTCTACGTTGAGGGCGCGGGAGGATGGCCCCGCGCCCCAACGCGCATACCCGCCGGAAGGAACGTAGCGCATGTCAGCCGCGCCATCCATCAGCAGCATGCACAAATCATCGCAAGCGCCTATACACACCAAGATTAGATGCATGACGCAGCGTTGCCGAGTTGCTTATGCGCTTACCAGTTCATCGCAGGACACTAATCCTAGGGAAGAGGCAGAGGGGCTCTGAACAGCGAACCAGAGACGCCAAGGTCCTATTTACCCAGGACAAAAGTGTAGCAGCTTGAGATGAACTGCCGAACTGAACGTCAAGGTAAGCAGTACCGAGCAAGTGATGTAGCGATATTCTAGGATTGATCGCCTCGTGTACTGTTTTTGGCCCGCACCCTGGACAACTCGAAGCACACGCAAGGCTCTTCTTCACGCATAATTCGCCTCACCAGCTACAGCCTTTCTCCTTCATGTCCTGCTCTTTCGTCATGTTTAGGGTGATACGGAGTAAGAAGGTCTGATCATTTCACTATTTCCTTATCGTTTCCTTCTGGGTCGGTTTCCTGGACGTTGTCCGTTTTTCCCTTATGTCGAATATGAAGTTACCGAGTGGTTATTTCCTTCCCAGAAGTACATCAGCCAGCCCCATCGACCGGGGAAATACTATCAGGGCCGCATCATGGGTCATTCTTATCATCACGATGATGGTTTTTGGAGCACGGCAGATAATGAAGGTTGTTGTCTTTCGGAGAATGGCGCTCGATGATCTATTGATATTTGTCGCTTTTGTAAGTTGCACAACATAATCCTCGAACTTAGCTAATGCATGCAGTCCTTTGCCATCAGTCTTTCAATCATAGCCCTTGTCCTGTCGTTCGAAGGTCTCGGCACTGTTGGTCCGTTGACCCCCGAGCAAACCATCTTCCTCATGAAAGGCTACTATTCGTCTGAGATTGTCTACATTGTAGCCATTGGCTTCGCGAAGTTGTCAATCTTGGTAATATTCTACAATGTCGTCGTAACGCAACGCATCATCCGCCGGGCTGTGGTAGCTTTCAGTGCGGTAGTGTCAGTTTGGACAGCGGCGTCGCTTGTCGCAATTGCGTTTCAGTGCCAGCTGCCTCGACCTTGGCAGATTGTAGGCCCGAGATGCTTCAACTCAGTATGCAACATAGAACCTAACCAAACACGGTCTGAAAGCTGACTTGAATAGCGTATCTTTTGGATCGTTTATTGTATTCTCGACATTTCCACCGAAGTCGCAATCATTATGCTTTCCATACACCTCGTAGCATACCTTCAAGTACGGCTCTCAAGGAAATTCGCAGTCATTGCATGCTTTGCGCCGCGCATGCTGGTGCTGATTCTGGCAATTGTTCGCCTCGTTTTGCTATTCCCGGCTACGCTCCATGGCAACCCTCAATACCGACTCTGGGTGCCGGCGATCGTATCGCAAGCCCACGTATGTCTTAGCATCGCAACTGCCAGCATTCCATACATGGTGCCCTTCTTCAAAGGTATGGATGGTGACTTGCGAAGGACTCACTCGACGAAGAGCCGCCTCCATCTCATCGATGAAGAGACAGGGCGCTCAAGGTCCTCGCTGTGGTTTCGCCGACACAATAAGACCAAAGCCCTTGAACTCTGGAACCCGACTGCAGATGCCGTTGTTCCATACAATCGCGTGCCGCAGCTCTCGCCTTATATTCCCGCTCCAAGACCTCTATCGCCTTTATCGCCTCCTCGGCCGCAGACGCCGCTCGGCAAGCAGGCTAGCGTTCGCGGTTTGAACATATACATCCCATGTCGAGATCCTCGGCGGCAACGAAGCTTAGATTGGGCGAGTCCACGGACGGAAAGCTCGGGCGTGCTTTCGCCATCGTGCGCATCACCACAAGCTTTGCTTCCGCAATCATTCATCCCTTCTAGGAAGGCACCCAGTCCACCAACAAAGGTCTACAGTCCCAGACCAACTTCCTCGAGCTCATGCTACTCCAGTCGTACCCCAACGCCGGCTTTGACTACGCCACATGCGGAACGCTTTTCGCTATTCCCGGCTCATAGCTCCTCTTCCGTCTCACCGCAGCCACAGTATAGCCCATCTCGGGTGCCACCAATTCGAGCAATGCGATCGCAAACGATATCCACGGGCGTAAAGTCTCCTGGTCCTTCAGTCCTGAAGAGTCCCTCCGGTGCAGGGGCGTTGATGGCACGGTCGTCCAGCCGTGCGCAGCCTCGGAAGTTCAGTACCACAACGCATCTTCAGACACCACCGCTGATGACCACATATGAGGGGACTGGAATCAGACCCGGTTCGATACAAGACTTAACATCGCCCATGGGTGCAGCAATCAATGGCTGGTTTAGCAGTGCCAAGACAGACTATCCTTCGCCATCGTCGCCCATGGAGGCCCCACCGGATTGGCAACCCAAGACCGATCAATATGAGCTTTCACCAATGCGGCCAGTCGCTCACCCAAGATCGCCACCTCCAAGTCATATGCGCTCACATGCTCGTGCAGACATACCGCACGATGCGCCGCCGCTTCGTTCGCCTCAAGACACCCTGCTTCACACCCGAGCTTCCAGATCGCAAACCATTCCTTCTGTACGCGATGTGCGGCATAGTCCGAGGATCGTGCATTGTGACCCCTTCTAGCTATATATCCTTCAGTCTCTGTACCATTATGTCCTTCGTCTTGCATCTGGGCAGCGTTAAGAGGGTTTCTTTCAGCAATTTGTCGCATTGAACGATGCCATGATTGTATCACGAACTGTATAACATGTATTTGTACTTTCCGTTTACGGGTCTGTCTCTAGACCCCAAGGTTTTGGCGGTTCTCTTCTGGTGTTCATGGAGTCGGAAGGATATGATGTTGATTGCCTCGGCATTCTCACGGCGCGTCTTTGCAGCTATTTCAACAAGCTATTTCACGAAAATTTGAGTCAAACACTTTCACAGTAATATGCGTAAAAGAAGGCACCTTTTCCACACGACGAGTGAGTGAGTTGCGTCGTGCAATCTCGCCGCTTGGCCACTTTCACAACAATGGTAGGTGAACACTACGCTTGTAACCCATTATAAAAACTCCCAAACTTCACCCTTATCGACAATTCACACCAATCATTACTCTCAATCAACTCGGTCAAACTCTGATGTCTGCGGCACACAACAGAGCGACTGCCGACGATCTCCGTCTTTGGAAGGTCGACAGCTTCACGGATTCCTCTGGACGGACATCGTGTGCCAAGGATGGACGAGAGCACTTCCGACTTCGCTGTCTTGCACTTAGGAATGTTGTGTCAACCCTAAGGCAAGATTATCAGTCCAAGCAGGCGAAAGAAGTGGAACTCGAAGACTTCATCGCCCGGAAGCTTGAATACACGGACAACCCAGACAATGCTGCGCATGCTGCCTTGTACCAGAAGCGCCTGTTAGTCCATCAATCTACAGCTCAAGCTACTAAAGAAAGACTGGCACGCGTTGAAGCAGAGCTGGATTTCGTTCTGGAGCACAATAGCGAGGCGAGGGTCTTTTGCGAACTTATCTCCGAGAAGTTGCCCACAGAGCTTGTAGACATAGTCTATGCTTATGTTGAACCATACCCCAAGGAACTTGAAGTCGACTATGATGTCGACCACAAAGAGCCTTTGGGAGACGAATTCAACAACCAAGAAGTCGTGGAACGAGTATACACCTCTAAGTCTCTGAACGGAGAGTTCAATGGAAAAGATTGCAAAACGCCCTGGTATCTAGACACCAACATCGTGAGCCCCGAGTTTGCCGAGGAGAAACTGAAGGCGTTCCATCGCGAAACGGTTTTCTCTATCGGCCGGTTAGTACACCTCACACGCTTTTTCAACCAAAACCGTTGGAGGGAATACGAGCACCTGGTCCCAAAAGAATTCGTGCGCAACATTCATCTCAAGATACCGTTAGATATGTGCCACATGGAATGGATAGGCCCGGAAGGCTCAGAATCTGCGGAGGAAAGCCAAGCATATCTAGACGCACTCTCAGACTCTGTGGATGGAGGTTCAGAATCTGAAGAGTACGACTCAGTACTTGGGGAAAGCCCGGCGAAGTCCCTATGGGGACTTGTCGCTGGAGATGTGCTCCTGAAAGAGCTCGCGCCGCTACATACCCTCACACAGAAAGGAGTTCGAATTACTATAGACATTCGACCCAGCATGAGGACTTGGTCCTACCTTCTGCCAAAACATATCATGGAGGCATGGGAGGACTCTTCCCACGAGGGCCCATTCAAATATGAAGGGAGCGACGAAGCAGAAAATGAGTGGGAAAACACGGAAGACTTTGAACTCATTGGACGTCTTCTGCTGCTGGTGCTGATGCAGAAGTTGCTGCCGTTCTTCCAGGATCTGGTCAAGAATGGACAAGTCGTAACGATTCTGGATGGCCGAGAGAAGTGGTCTTGGGTCATGAGCAGGGACAGCATGAGTGTGGATGACTTGCTTGAATGTAGGCAGGCCTTTTGGGCTCAGAAGCCAGAAGGCGTTTTCGGGGGCCAGGAGTTGGAGTTTCGTATACCGGCTGTTGACGACGTTGGAGACGTATAAGTCTTTGACGGTCAGTATGCTTGAGTAAGGCATGCGCTCCGTATGGCTATAGTGCTCTATCAATTCATGGTTTGCCGTCTACATCAGCGTGCAAACGAAACTTCACACACTCTGGGGGGCGATGTAGACGTCTGGGTCATATCCAATGCCCTCTCTGAACTCATCCTTTGCCGTCTACATCAGTATCGAAATGAAGCTCCACACACTCTGGGAGGTGATGTAGACGTCTGGGTGATTTCCATTGTCCTATACGAAGTAGCCCTAGAAGCGTTCGCTCCCTCCCTTAACCAGAGTGCATGTACATACATCATTCCAACTCAATGATTCATCTATTTGATCAAGTCCGTGTTGATCATGCATACTTCATCCATCTTACTAACCTGAAGCCACTTCTGCACACTTTCCAAGCAGCCTTTCGTTGTGAAGTCCAGCGTGTTCTCAGTAAAGCTCGCGCATCGACCCGACGCTGTCTTGTAATCCTCAAGCTCCAGACGTAGTCTCCAGCCCTTGCTTTTAAGCTTTTGGAGGATTGGCAGCAGGATATTAAGCAGATAGTTCCTATGTCTTACGTCGTATTCTACGGCAACTGTGAGGATGCGACTCTTGCTATCCATCGGCAGCAAAGTGGTGAGGAAATCAAGGCGCCGCTTGAGAACCAGTTTTGGAGTTTTGTGGTACATCAAAAGCTCGGTGATTGGCGGCGAAGCTCTTGTATACGGAGTGTCGAAGCCGAATTCATACCCTGCCTCCTCCATCTTTTTGAAGTGGCGCTCGTTGATATCAAGCGAGATTTTTGAGACTAGCTTGCTTAGATCAAGCTGTAGTCCGGATGTGTCTGAAGCGAGAAACAGGGCTATGTTCTCTTCTTCACTTGGAAGTTCGAATGTAAATTGCGTCGTGCGATAGAAGCGCGCGACGAACTCCAGGTAGATCTCTGGGCCTAAGCCCTTGTGATGAGCGAGGTCGAAGAGTTTTCCATCTTCCTTATCTTCGAAAAATATACCGCTAGCTTCGGCTTTTCTGACTATGACATGACTTGGCATGATTTCCCCGTATATGATGTCGCGAAGCTCTTGTGGAAGCATGTCGCTCAATTCCATGCTCAGGCCCATGTAGGCAATGCTTGAAGACGCATGCGGCATTGTGCTTGTGTCTTGCTCGCGCTGCCTGATCTGCGGAGTTTCTGCCTTACTAGCCTCTTTCTTGATGACTTCTGGCTTGCTAGTGCCGAAACGTGCGTCCAGAGTAGTCCAAAACATCTTTTCTCGATGCGACTTTTCCTGCAGCTCAGCGCTTCGCAGCTCAGTAATCTTGCACTGCATTTGCAGATCTTTAATGTTGGCCATGATATCTGATGCTTCGAGATGGAAGTACAGTAGTACTTTGTAGTTGTGTTCTCGCGTCTTAGTCGAGCGAATGTAGATATTTGCAGTTCGCGGATGTGTTTTGATACTAGCGTCAAGGTCTTCGATACTGTCTGATGTTGAAGTTGTCTAAGTAGAAAAGCCAGGAATGCAGCCATTATATACTATTCCCTGATCTGACTCATAGTAGAACGCCCATGCAATATCTTGGTCGGGTCCATTCCATCGACTTCGTCTACTGGTACTGCGATAACGAAGAGCGAGCAACCTCCAATCGGGGCATCTCGAATACAACGTACGAACACTGGGAAGAGCTAAAGTATGTGTAATGTCTTGCTGCGCCTGTGACTCGGACCTGAGCGCCGATGCGATACCTTGGTAAAGTCCATTCTATCCACTTTCCCAGTGGTACTGCGCTGACGCAGAGCGAGCAACGATCCAATGAAGCCATTCCGAATACAATGCATCGGCACTGGGGATAGCCAAAATATTTTTCATGTCTCGCGGATACATACCATTACATCATGGGGAGTAGAGACTTTCTAAGGCAGTGTACACGTCTGGCTCCAAGAATTTTTGATGGGATATGACACAGACTTTTCTGCTTTGCTGCACACCCACTGTTGTAAGATGCCAAATGGATAGTCTCTGACTCGACGTAGATGTCTAGCTCAAAAAATGTTTTATGAAATGTGAACCTTCGGTACTGCAAAGCGAAGGCGGGTGGTGCGCCGACCAACCACAGTGAGTGTACTTCTAACGACACCAAATTTTCACGTCAAAAGGCTATGTTCGCAGGAAATGCAACGCGATCACATGGTACTGCAATGACCCATGCAATGACCCACAGACGACATCCGCATCATATCATGGTGACGGGTATTGCGACTTGGGGTCGCGGGATATATTCGGCTCATACCAGCGCGTCACGCCCCGCCACATCTTAACCCACAGTCCTCTCCCCACCTAATACTCCCTCTTCACATGCCACAACTCCCACGGCGCCTCCCACGCCAACAAAATCCCAATCGCCTCTTTGTACTCCTCGCTCTTAACCGCTTCCTCAAAATACTGCATACCCTCCCATCCCCTTGCCACAAAAAAGCACTTCGTCTTCTCCTTCTTCACATCCTTGTGTTCCAACTCCTCCATCACCCATCCATACGTCAACCCTCCACTCCCCTTCAAAGCCTTCGCACACATGTCGTTGAACTTGTTGAAGTCCTTCTCAATCTTATTCCTAAACGACTCGTTGATCTTGCTGGCAGGGAAGTAGATCTGCACGAATTCGACTAGGGGAGAGGACATGGGGCCGCTGTTGTCGAAGGCGGATTGGCCGTCTTTGAAAGTGACGTGGAACATCTTGTCGGGGTTTCCAAGGGTTTTGATGACGGTCTCGCGGTACGTGTTTGCTTCCGCTGAGGACTCGGCTTTGGGGTCGTGCCATTCCGATGTCAGTTGCAGGTTGCGCTTGTCTTGGGTTTGGGTGCCCAGGACGTAGTTTTCGGGGGCTTTGGCGCCTTTGAGGGCTTTGACGGCGGCGTGGGCTGCTGCGTCGGCTTCCGAGGCGGAGGGTGCGCGGAAGTGGATTATTTGTGTTACTGTCATGTTGAGCAGTTGCGAAGTGAGTTATAAAAGCTGTCAGGTGAGTTGCTCGTAATGAGATGTATATGTTCACGATACTGTAGTATGGAGTCGTTGCGCATGAGGTCGGACATGTAGCCCGCGAGCTTTGTAATCTGGAGCTACCAACCACCGACACCGATGTTTGGCTTCGACGTTACGTGGCATGAACCAGGTTTGGCGTGCGTTCAGCCACGGCGTGCCGCATAGTACACGTTAAGGCGCTGTGTGGGTACGTGTTTGGCATCTTACTGGATGTCAATAGTCCTGGAAATGCAAGCATGCGGGGTAGTAATGCGCCTCGGCACCCCAACACTCACGCTGTGTTGCGGCATGGCAAGACTCGAATCTGAAGACATATTGGGTAGAGGTGTGCGCTGATATCACGCGAGTAATGGCCATATTTTACTGTCCAGAGTCCGAGGCGTCAGACCGTCAGCGATGGCGATCTGAGGCACGGGTGCCAAGCAGCGCTATTCCACATATGGTAACGCACCCTGATGACATCATCACATCCGGGAAGAGCGGCATTGTTTGGAAGGCCCAGCCCACGAGCGGCGAGGATAGTAATACATTATACGAGAATCGTGTATCTAATCTTATTCGTAGCTTCGCAGAAGCTGCCTCTATAGATGTAAAAATAGCAACCTCAACTCCTGCAAATGCTAGACTCGCTTGCTTGTAAAACACGACAACAAAAGAAATGCGTTTTGATGTGCTGAGGGAAGTGCAGCGGATAACATGTTGAAAGGAGAGAAAGGAGATGAGCGATGGGTGCGAGAAAGCCGGTGGTAGGTGCAGCCTCCCCTAGAAACTGAACAGCCCCGACCTTCTCTTGCCCAGTGGGTAAACGATAAGCGCAGCAAGGAACAAGCCTACTGTGATACCAATAGCGATCTGGATGACGGAGAAACCAACGTCCAGAGCGATGGAGTTGATGCTTGTGCTGCCGCCAACGTCGGCGCTGCTGATTGTCGTAGCGTTGCCAGTCTGATTGCGCACGATCTGGTCAGCCGAGGTCAGACCCGATACGAGAGAGCCTTGGACACTGAGTCCAGACGGAACTTGTACGAAGATAGCTGGCAACATGGCGGCTGCGGCAAGACCGTAGCCAATCTTGCGAGTGTGAGGTGTGAAGTCGCTGACTGAGCTAGCTCGTGATGTGTGGCCACTGCTGGTATGGGTTGGGTCATAAGCCGATCGCTCGACCTTTTGTGTGCGGAGAGTGAGCGGTCCGTGGTTCTTCTTCTGCCACATCTTTCGCACTTTCACAAAGTGAGGTCGCAGCTTGTTCTCCCAGGTGTCATGACCCCAGTTCTCGATGTGACGACCGAAGCGAGCATGGGCGTTGGCGGCGATACCGATAGCCAGTGCTCCGAGCGTGTTGCTGACCTGCGCGTTGCTCTTGAAGTACTTTGAGCTATGGAAGTTGACAACCCAGCCGATGAAAGCGATGACAGTCATGGAGGGCATCTGCTTGTACTTGGCTTGGTTGACGATCTGCAAGCAGATGGCGAATGCAGGGACGAAGAGATAGTAGAAGTTGGTTGACATGGGTTCATGGCATGTTGTGCGCGAGGTGGCGTTGTGATCCATCATGCCATACAGAACAGTGCCGATGGTGATACCGAAACCAAGGAAGAGGGAGTAGATGATAGCGTAGACCATGCGCACAGATCCAGCGACAATGTGCTTGCTTTGGAGCTCCAGCGATGCACAAAGCACCATGAAACCGGGTAGGATGAGGGCAATACTAGACTGAGCCATGGCACTGAAGCAGAAGATCTCTTTCCCGTCATGTCGAATCGATCCAAGGGCGCGCGCCGCGAAGCTGGTAATGACCGATGCTCCAATCTCGAAGACGTTGCTGATAAGATCGTTTCCGGGTGCAACGACGAGTTGGAGCCATCCGATGAGGCAACCCAAGAGGAAGCAGAAGGGTAGGTCAACGAATCGAGCCTGGAACGCGAAAGGCCCTACAGTTGCGGATGCCAAACCGTACATCGGTACGCG